ATCTATTAGTCAACTTGATGCCTCTAGTTTTGATGTTATCTTTTCTTCTTCTATCTGTTCTGTGCAGGATCGGATGTCCAAGCAGCAAATTGGGATTAGTCGTAGAGTTGGAGACTTCTATGTGGTGGAGAGCTTGCATCTGCCTATAACTACCTCTCCAACTGCCTTTTCTTCTTTTCAGTTAGATTCTCTGTCAAATCCTTTTTATTTGTGCCATTCCAAATTAGGGCATTTGTTTGCTGACCGCTTATGGTCTTTAGCTCAGTCAGGTATATTGGGTAAAATTTCTCCTAGTCAACTTACCGAGTGTCAAGGGTGTAAACTTGCCAAATGACAATCTTACCTTTCCGTAAAAGTACTTCTATATCTGCTACACTGTTTTCTTTAGTTCATACTGATGTCTGGGGCCCTTCTCCTGTTCTCACCAAAGGGAGTTCTGCATGCTATGTGTCATTTGTTGATTACTACACCCGTTACACTTGGATTTATCTTATGACACATAAGTCTGATTTCTATCAGATATACCATACCTTTCAGTCTATGATTACTACTTAGTTTGGGCCTACAATTAAAGTGTTACGGTCTGACTTGGATGGGGAATATTTTTAAAATGAGTTCTGTGAGTATTTGGCTAATTTGGGTACCATTCACCAAACTTCCTACAAAGATACACCTGCCCAAAATGGTCAAGCCGAGCATAAACACCGTCATCTCCTTGAGATAGCTAGGTCTCTTTTTCTCTCTGCCTCAATTCCGGCTCCATTCTGGGGAGAGGCAGTTTACTGCTGTTTTTTTTCTCAACTGCATGCCTACTCCCCTTCTTTCTGGTCAGTCTCCTTATGGGGCTTTGTTCTCCCAAATTCCTAACTACTTCCTTCTTCGTGTGTTTGGGTTTGCCTGTTTTGTTCTCCTTCCCTGTAAAAATAGGACCAAACTTAGTGTCCGGTCTGCCCTTTGTGTCTTTTTGGATTATAGTCCTATTCAGAAAGGCTATCGATGTTACGACCCTGTTTCCCATTGTCTTTATGTCTCTCGTCATGTTTCTTTTCTCGAACGTCTACCTTACTTTCAGCTTCCTACTCTCACCGCGCCAGTTTCCAAAGAGAAGTTGGTTTATATTGATCCATTTCCTTCTGAGGTCCCGTCTGACGATTACATCTCCACAGTTCCTCCTGAATTTGTTCCATCTTCTCCTCCTGCTTCACCTCTGGCTACTATTCCTCCTTCGGTGTGTTCTCCTCCTCCGTTGTTAGTTTATTCTCGTCGCAAGGCTCCTTCTCCACCGGTTGTCTCTGCCTCTGCTACTGATCCTTTTGCTTCTGATGATTCTGATCCTACTGTACACCGATATCTTACTCGAACACGTTATCCTCCAAATAGGTTGGGTTGGTTTAATACATGTTTTTCTACTTCCTATTATACTTTTTTGTCTGTTATTCACTCTTTTTCAGAACCTTAATCTTACAAGCAAGCCTGTCAGGATCCTCATTGGGTTCAAGCTATGGAGGATGAGTTGTCTGCTCGATAGAAAATTAGTACTTGGGAGTTTGTTCCTTTGCCTGTTGGTAAGAATCTAGTTGGTTGCAAATGAGTTTACAAAGTCAAGACTCATTCTAATGGTTTTCTTGAGCGCTACAAAGCTCGTCTGGTTGCCAAAGGTTTCTCACAGGAGTATGGTATTGATTATGAGGAGACCTTTGCTCCTGTTGCCAAGATGACTACTGTCCGTACTTTGATCTCTGTCGCTGCTGTTCGTGCTTGGCCTTTTTATCAGATGGATGTTAAGAATGCTTTTCTTAACGGTCATATTACTAAGAAGTTTTACATGCGTCCTCCTCCTGGCCCTCACCATTCCTCTGGACAGGTTTGTCGCCTTCGGCGTGCTCTGTATGGTCTAAAGCAGTCTCCTCATGCTTGGTATGATCGCTTTTAGACTGCTGTTACTGAGCTTGGGTTTCATCTTTGTGCCTAGGACTCTGCTTTATTTCTTCTCCATACCTTTGCTGGATTTGTTGCGTTATTACTGCATGTGGATGATATGATCATCACTGGTTCTGACTCTTCTGCTATATCTGAGGTCAAGCAGTATCTTTTTCGCACTTTTGAAATTAAGGATCTGGGCCCATTGCGGTATGTTCTTGGTATTGAGGTAGCTTCTTCTTCCAAGGGCTACTTTCTCTCTCAGGCCAAGTATGCTAATGAGGTTATTCATCGCGCCGGTCTTACTGACACTAAGATTTCTGATACCCCTATTGAGCTTAATGTAAAGCTCAACACTACTAATGGGGTTCTTTTGGATGATCCTACTCTATATCACGAGCTCGTGGGTTGCTTAGTCTATTTGACAGTTACTCGTCTTGATCTTGCTTATGTTGTTCATGCGGTTAGCCAGTTTGTCTCTGCTCCTCGCTCCACACATTGGGCTGCCTTGGTTCAGATTCTTTGCTATCTCTAAGATGCTATCTTTCAGGGTTTACTATTGTCCTCTACTTCTTCTCTGAATTTGGTGGCCTATGCTGATTCTGATTAGGCTGGTGATGTTACTGATCGCAAGTCCACGTCTGGTTTCTGTATATTTCTTGGCAATTCCTTGATCTCTTGGAAAAGCAAGAAACAAACTGTTGTTGCTCGCTCTACTGTCAAAGCTGAATATCGTGCTACGGCTCATGCTACCGTTAAGTTGTCTGGCTTCGTTGTCTTCTTTCTAACGTGGGCGTCTCTCAGTCTTCTTTGACTTCCCTCTATTGTGACAACCGCAGTGCTATTTAGATTGCACATAACACTGTCTTTCATGAGCGGACCAAGCACATTGAGATTGTTTGTCACTTTATTCGCCAGCATCTTCAGTTTGACTCTATCTCACTTTCTTTCGTCTCTTCAGCTCTGTAGCTTGCTGTCTTCTCTACCAAGACTCACACCACTGTTCAGTTTCAATTTCTTCTTGGCAAACTATCAATGTTTTCTGCCCAAACACCTTGAGTTTGAACGGGGGTGTGAAAATAATATTAGTATATATATTATGTGAATATTGTTTCTTATTTAGGATGGATTTAGGTTTATTCTTATTGTTTCCTATTTAGGATTGCTTTAGGTTTATTCTTGTTTCCTATTTAGGATTTGTGTTCTATATCTATTAGAATTCTATATCAGTGATGTATTTGTTTCGAATTAGGATTTAGTGTTCTATATAAGTGATGTATTCTTTGTTCAGTAAAAACAATTGAATATATAGAAATTCTTCAGAATTCTTACAAAAACAAGTTCACCAAAATCAGAGCATTCTATTGACTTGCCACCTACCGATTTACTTGATCAAGTTAGACATGGTTGACTTTATTGATGTTGAAGATTTTATTTGTGTTCAACCGACATTGGGTGGATCTCGTTAAAAGCCTGACCACAGGGAATGGTTGAAACGAGAAGAAAATAAAACAATGGGCCTACTCTAAGTTGATTTGTTAGCATGGACGAGTTTTTAGTATTTAAACAAAAACTCGATGACAAGTTCTTTTTCTCAGAAGGGCGGGCCTAGTGTAGCAATAAAGCTACCCCTTAGTGTCCAAGTGGTCATGGGCTTGAATCGCGGAAATAGCCCCTCCATTTGCAGGGGTAAGGCTGAGTGCATTAACCTTTCCCCAGACCCTGCTTAAGCGGGAGCTTCATGCACTGGGTGCGCCTTTTTTTTTTTAATGGAGAATGGTGTGGAACGAGCATGAACCAATTTTGACATTATAATTTTATTGTTTTATATTTTTTAAAATTTTATTTTATTTATTTTAATTATAATTATGAGTTTAATATTCGATTTCTTATTTGATTAAGGGTTTAGTTTTCAAATAATATTAGGATTTAGTTTCCTATTTTAATTGAGGATTTTAGCGTATAAATATTAATGTTTTGCTTTGTATTATTCAACTTCGATTTAATGAGATATTGAGTAGGCTGTGGGCTTGTGGCCTGTGAGATTAAAGTTGTGGCTCTTACATTTTTCGTCCCCGTCTTCTTCTCTTTCTCTCTTCTACAGTGTTTTTTATCGTTTTGCATTCTGTCCTTTGATCTCCATATACACACCCATACTTGCACTTGTTCTGTCTGCTACTGAGAAGACAGGAAAATAAATAGAATTTGTGAAATCATAGTGTGTGTAATACTGCTACTATTTGTAAGATTCCAAATTTTCTTTTCTTTGCCTACATTCTCTTGGATTGGGAAGGTTGCTTATTGATGTTACTAATCATTTCATGATGGGCTAGTATGAATATCCCCTCTGATTATTGTCAGGTTATGATTAAGAAATTCCTAAATATAGTGTGACCTACACATTATTCGGGGGAGGGTGGAGGACACAACCATTATGGCTGTGGATTTAGTATTTTCCTAGAGTCACCATGAAGGTAGTTGATTCTCTCTTAATAAACTTAGGTGCAAATTCATTTTCTTTTCCTTTTCCTTTTCCTTTTTTTGCTTGTTGAAGTTGAGTTGTAATATGTGAATTGACTTACTAGTAAAAAAATCATGTTTAAAAGGTGAACGTAAATGTGAGAAAATAGTATGGATGGATATTCTCGGAAGCTTTTAGGCTCTTCAATGATTTTGTGACCGAAGTGTTATCAAAGAAAGCCAAGTACCAAGTGTATGATATGTTCTCATCAAAACAAAAACAAAAAAAGAGCAACAAGAATCTCTAATATTGGGGTTAGTTAGAGTGGTTGTCAGGAATATTGATTCGCGGAAGAGGGTTGGGGTTTTCTCCTTTGTTGAATTGGGAACATATTGGCTTATCTCACTGATACAGGTCTATGTTTCGATGGGCATTTGATGTGGGTGTTTGTCTGCGCATTTGCAGAAACACAAACTACTAACAAGATTTTGAACAATAGTTTGTAAGAACTAGTGCAAACGCAAGTCATTGTATATCTATTGTGTCTCCTTTGTTTGCTAATCTAATGTCATTCTTGTTTCCAACCTCGTCTGTTACTGACTTTTTCTGTTATTTGCAGTTCGATTGGAGACCCATACAAGTACAACATTCTCCCTCCCCTTCCAGCTCAACACAATCTGACGCCACCTCCCACTCTTTATCCTCAGCAGCCAATGTCAACTCCTGACAACAACTATAACACCATTCCAAGATTTGCCTTGTCAAGCTCCCACGATATCAGCAGCAGCAGCAGCGCCAGATCAAAGCGCACTGATATTAATGTCTGAGGCTGAGGCTGAGGCGGATGATTTCAATCTTTGCTTATTGCTGCTAAAAAGAACAAAGAGGGAGCACATTACTGGCCATGTAAAATCCCTATCTTTTTGTTTGCACTTGTGATATTGGTCGATTCATTCTTTGATTCATTGGGAGGCCTCTTTGTTTATGTGCATCTTGTATTTGAAATTTATAATGGTTTGTTGTTCTACATCCAGCTATTCTTTTTCCATGATACTTCACACCATTCTCTTTTTTTCTATGAGATAAAATTGTGAAAATGTAAAAACCATTCCATTGGGAATTAGATGGGTGTATTGAATTGCGGCTTTATCACATCAGTAATGCAATCTTATTTGTATGATTAATTTTTCAAATTATTTGGGTGCCATGGAACGATTTTGATTCTAGTAGACCTGACTACTTAACATTAAAAAAATTGAAACTACATAACCCTTGAAGAGTACCAACATATTGAGCTGAACCTAGTTGAATCCATTTAGTTATGGTGAAAGATTTAAGGCAATCTTTGTATTTGGTTAGCTGATCGAGTGTTTCGATATCCATGCCAAATCCCATTTTAATTAACGAGTTTTAAAAATGTGTTTACAGAATGAGATAATTTCAAATGAATTATTAATATGTTAAATATGAGTTGAGTTTGATAATTGGTTTCTCATAATGTATATAAGGTTACTCAATTATAGATGAGTAATCTGATATGAACAATCTGTCAACTTGTATTGAAATGATTTTTGTTTTTTTGGGAATGCTACAATCATAAGAGATGCAACAAATTGATAGCACTTGAAACTTGGAAGCCCACACAAATAATAGTTAGATGCTTTGTAGAGCAATCCATCTGTCTCTCCCAATCCAATTCCCTTCCTCTCCTTTGCCCCGTCGGCTCTCCCTCACAATCGACATCCCTTTGTCTTTCGCCATCCCACCCTAGCCACAACCTCCCTGCTGCCACTGCCTCGGTACTCCTCATCTCTATTGGGATTTTTCAAAATAAAAATGGGTTTCTTTTTAAGTAGTTTTCAAAATCGTCCTTGTTCCTAGAAAGCTCCTTTAAACCATATTGCAAATATGAGTGAAATATGAACACTTCATAAAGCTCCACATGAAATATTTCCTTTAATAAATAATTGCAGAGAAGGATGTTAGTGTGTATACACATGTACCGTAAGATAGGATGGGGCACCATCCGCACACATGGCATGGGGTATGTGTGGTGCTTTGAAGGTGCGTTTTGCTTATACGTATTTCCTAGTTCTTTTTCTTTCATTTCTATGAAAGTATTCTGATCTATCTTCATTGGTGCAAACGCAAACTCAAAATGTTTTCATCAAGCTATTTTTATCAAAAGTACAGTGTATCGTGATCCCAAAACATGAGTCCAGTAATAAGTTATTCATACTTGGTTTGATAGTTTAACGAGTTTAAAATTGTGTTCAATCTTGACTTTATTTATATAATGAAGAACTTCTAACCAGCCAAACCCCAGTCAAACTTAAATAGTTTGATTTTTTTATAATGCATATAAGCTTATTGAGCCTAGAAGTAGATTGTTCAGCATGATTGAAAAACTTAATGAGTTTAAAATTATGTTCAAACTTGACTTATTTACCTAATGAGTCTATCTCAAATGAGCTTTTTTAATGAGTTAAATATGAGTCGAATTTGAGTAGTTTGATTCATTTAACAATACTACTGCCACTGCTACATCACCGACACCCTTTCACAACAAATGCTCTCAACAACTTTCACTGCACAATAAATCATTTTTTTTTTCAATTTCTGATCAATGGTGCTTACTTGCCATATTGTAAGAGAGTGTATGATATCTTTCATTTTTGTTTTAAACTGCGTTATATTATAAAGAGTCTATGCATGCATGTGAGTTTGTGTGTTACACAGTCTTCTTTTATTTTTTTAATCAATTTGTGTTCCTAAAAATTTAATTTGTGTTTGTTTATGATTATTGTTTGATTTTAAAGAAAGTAGGAAAAATTTAACATAATCACTTGATTAAATTATATTTGAAGGGGGGAGGGGGGAATTTTTTTGTTCCAAAATCTCTTTATATCTTTATCCCAACTATTAAACCATGTAAGAATGTCAAGACGCATTAATATCAAGACATGTTACCACTGGTGGAGCAGAGGTTTTAATAACTAGGCTAGCCAATATATGGATAAAGATACTTTGGCTTGGCTATATTTCCACTGAACATCCCATCCCACAAAGTGCTTTTCTATGACTGAACAAAATCCTTAAAATTAGTGTGTAATTATAAACCAAGAGAATCCTCCATCCCCAAATCCCTAGAGATATTAAAGCTGAGTATAAACCATGTCTAGAAACCATAAGATACTATCAGAAGCGGCCTAATCATTAGGCCACTCAAGTTGCCGCATGAGGTTTACAAGAAAATTTCAAAAAAAAAAGTTATACGGAAAACCCTAACTTTTCAAAGACTTAGTTAGATAAGGTCTCATATAAGACCTCTAAGAATCTTGAGCCGCTATTGGAGACTACAATTCCTTTCTGAGTGAAGAAACATAATATAAACTCACGACACGTTTCACGATTAACTGAAAAACCAAAAATACTAGTATGAAATTATGAAACTTTTTCTACCACCTCCTACTCATTTTCGTCACCTACATATATAAATCTATTTATGAGGACATGTACTATATATCTTTTCAAAAACTGGCAATCTGTGCATTTTCCTTGGACCGTAAAGGGCATCATTTATGTGTTCATCGACAAAATTCTTCAACTTTTCTTGCATTGCATTAGACCAATTGGCCTCTGCAGCCAAAGAGGGTGGAAGGGGTATTATCCCATCCATGACTGGCGACCAAGTTTCGTGGCTGCTGTTTTTTGGCTGAGTATCGGTTGTTGTTAGTTTCGTTGGAACGAAGACCGAGCTAGTTTTACTCAGGCTATTGCAGTTATTGGTGTTGCAATTGCTGTTCCTGCCTTTGCTTTGCTGCTTTTCTGTTGCCATTGTTGTCATGCCCTTCTGTGGTGTGAACATACATCCCTTGACCAAGCAAATCTATTCATCCCAAAAAAAAAAACAAAGAGAATGAAACATAACACTTCATAGAAATGCATGATTTTCCAGTTGAAACAAACAACATAAGTGGGAGAAGTTATTCATTAATAATGAATAATTATTGGTCTATGTAGTGGTAGTCATTAATTTTTTGTTGGTGTTTCAGTTCTTTCTATTTATTTTATAAGGTTACAATAAAATATTAAAGAAATTTAAAATGAATGATTTATAATTATTAATTGATGTGTCAATTTTAAAATTTTCTTCAATTATTTTTTAATTAAAAATAAAGATTTGTTTGTAATGATTTTTTACATTCATTATGTTTAAAATGAAGATCTCTAAAATATATATGTAAAGTGTCAATAATTAGTAATAAATGTGCGTTGGAGCCTTGAATGGGAAGTCTTTAACAAATTTCTTATACGAATACAAAAATTGATTATAAAATCGCATATAATCAGTTTTGTATTCCTCAAAAATTGTAATTAAAATTTCAGTCATAATTCATCATTTTTATTATTTAGTGTCATAACAAAAACACCACAAATTCATTAGTCACGATTGATAATTTCATTCATAACATGTCACAAATTAGATCTTGTTTAAGTGGAAGGAACTAGAGGGTCTGTTATTGTGGTTTGAATCTCTCTAACTCTTTTGAGGTCTTAGGGTTGCACATGATTAGTCTTGCTTTGGGTGCCAACCTAGTTGGGATGCTTAGCTAAGATAATGATGCACTTTCCTCCCAAACTTTTGTATCTTTTTCTCTCTTTTATCTAATATAATATTTCTTGCTTGCCGCTCAAAAAAAACAAAAACAAAAACAAAAACAAAAGCACCACAAAAATTTATAATCAAAGCCACTTCAATTCGGAACAAAATACTAAAAAATTTCAACTTAGGTCACTTCTGATACATAATCAAACACTAGAAAGTTTTGAAAACCTAATAAAAGAAAAAAGTGTTCATAATCAATCACCACAAAACATCATAACTAAACACTAACATGAATCATATAACATTTATATGATGGTCTAATTTAATAATTATTGATCTTAACAGTAAATTTGCATGCATGCATAAATAGGAGACCCATAAAAAAGAAAGAAAATAACAAAGAGAGAAGAGAACCTGGTTTAGTGGTAGGGTAGAAGAGCAGTCATTTACAGGACGTTTTGGTTTTTTACCTCAGAAAAAAAAAACAACACCACTAGGGAGGGAGAGAGAGGGATTATGGAGGGTTTCTATTCTATATAGAGAAAAAAAAACAAAACAAAACAAATCAAATCAAAGATTTGCATCTTAAAACTTGCCTTTCCAAGTTCAATCAAGACTTTCTATACATAGATATAGGAATATAAATAGTATTATTTATATAGCAGAGATAGGATAGAGAGAAACCATAATTGTTTCCTAATTGGTTTGGTTCGATCGAAACTTCAAGGGAACTATTATGGAAACTTTTAAGACTCTGATTTCGACTTTTTGGGTATAGAAATGAAAATATATATTTTCCTCACTTTAATGGAATGAAGAGAGATATCATATTTTTTAGTAACAGTGATATTAATAAATAAAAAATAATTACAAATACATGGTAAATATTATAAATATATAATTAAAATTATAAAAAAAAATTGTAATAATTTTTAGAAATTACCACTGAATGGTAATATTCCCTATTTTTTATTATACTCTAGGAATTTTTAATCATAAATCCCATTTGAATCTCAAAAAAAAAAAAAAGAAACCCTAACCAGGGTGGAAAGACCAAAAAATAATATCATATAAAACATCCTTCACTTCACCAATTCATTTTGGAGGATCTCAACGCTATTATCAAACTTTGCTCGATTTTTAAATCATTGTCGACTTTATATTCTCTACTCTTGTTTATTTAGTGAATTTTTGTGTTGAACACTACGAACATGCTCGCTTACTAATTATGATACAAAAAATTTCAGTGTGAAATTTTGCACTTTCAATTAATAAAATAGTATGAATTAATTACTGACTGAATTTTTGAAAAGTAGGAAAACTATATATATGAATATTCACATAATTGCAAAACTGGTATGCTTACCTCCGCTGTACCTAAAATTTTTAAGAAAATAAAACCTTACAATTCTCTTTTCTTAATCCAGGTTTTGTATGAAGTATGGAACCGCTATCGCTTTCAAGTATAGCTTGAGTGTTAAGCACAGATTTATGGTCCCCAAGCTTTCGCTCTCACGAAATTTTGATGCTAACATCATCTTCCTAATGTCTCCCCTTCAATTCTTTAGGACAACCAATGCATTATTGTCTCCAAGCTTGCGTACACACAATGAAGATGCAATCTTCGAGTTTGTAACCATCATCCTAGTTTCGATAAGACGATGTTGGTACACACAATGAAGATGCAATCTTCGAGTTTGTAACCATCATCCTAGTTTCGATAAGACGATGTTGGAGGTTCATTGGTCACTTACATCGTTGCGATAACCTTGAAAAGAAAATCTCCTTTCAGGCCTTTTCAACTTATAACAAGAATAGCAGTCAGTTTGGGGGCGGAAATAAAGACACTGTAAATTGTGTGAACTTACTTAAACATTGTGATAGCTTTTTAAAATCATTCAATAAAATATGTGAACACTTTTTTTATTATTATTAAAATTACAAAAATCATTCAATAAAATGTGTGACCAAAACAATAAACCCGAAGCTTAACACCGCAATCCACATGTAATGACGCAGATAACATTCATTATACATTTAATGATTTTTATGAGCTTTATTTGTATTTAACTACGTACATGTCAACTGAATTTTATATATTTTTTTTCTAATGAAACACAATTAAAATAGACAAAATCCACATGTAGGTGGTACACAGGTAGCTGCTGAAGATGGTGAGGAATAGATTGATGAACAAGAGGAGGGAATCAAGTGAGCAAGAGCAGAGAGGAATAGTAAAGGAGATTTTATTTTTAATTTTTTTGAATATTTTATTTTAGTATTTTTGCTTTGAAAAATAGTCATCTCAATATGAGCACATGTAATACATTTCATGTTAATTTGTATTTGAAACAATGATGGTGTGATTATTTTCGTATGACAAGATATATGAAGAGAGAGGATAAAGAGAGTCATATATATTTTAATTTTTTTTTTCTCCACTAATTTAAGATCCAAAAATAACATCAAGAAATATTTAATGGAACATAACTCGAAATAAACATTAATTTAATTTCCATGTATCAGAAAACAAAATAAGAGGAAGTTAACATGGCAATTCTATTTTCACAAGAAATGTACAACTGATCTCACAAGTGCATTTGTATTCGTCAGACATATAAACACACTACTACTCGCATGCACAGACAATCACAAAGGCCCTCTACCAGTACAATGGCGGCCACGGCCGCAGCGCCTACCGCAATCACAACTGCCTTGGCCACTGCCGCCACCTAATAGGATTGTCAAGCAACCACCCACTCACTGGCAACGGAACTTGGGCCTCACTGTGATTAGCCCTGGCCTCGCCTCATCATAATGGTATCTGCAGAAATAATATCGAAAGCAAACATTTTATATATATATATATATATATATTTAAAAAAATAATTGAGGGAAGAAGAAGACGCGTACCCATTCTCATTGAGAAAACTTCTGACAAAAGTTGGAATTACAGGTTGCCCCTTGCTATGATTACCTCTGCCTGTCAGACAACAGAACAAATCAGTGTAAGGATTTAGTCCTTAGCAAATCCACAATTTTCAGCAAGAATAATCCTCACAAAGAAGCTCCACATTCCTGGATGCCACCCCAAGACCCCATGTCCCAAGTTACTCCATGCACAGTAGTAGTTGCATCATTGCACCAAGCTTGTCACGACGAGGCATTCGCCCAACTGAGGTTCACGTCATCAAGGCACCAAGCCACACAACCTAGCACAATCGTATCTATCAAGAGTGTTGATCCCAACCAAGTAACTCATGCAAGCCATAGCACCCCAGAGAAGCATGCAAGTGCCACAACCACATACACCATCCAATCTTGGGCTAGTTGACAAGGTAGAGAGTGCCTCGATAGTCCAATTGGCCCGAGGACACAATCCTAACAGGATAGGAAGCGGGGCATAACAGATGCGTGTCCCAAGCCTCCATGGCAAGAAGTTCACATAGTGCTGACACTCATGCCCTTGATGGCAGCATCCATGGGGCTCCTAATCCCCAATGGAACCGTAGACACCTGTTGATCACCTAAAACCCACCCCCAAGTTGCCTTGGGGTAGCTCACTCATGCATAAGTGGCACAAGGGAGGCTAGTAGCACATACCACTGCCCCCTAATTTAGCATTCTGAGCCATATATACAAAGTGACATGAGCAAACATGTCCTATGTCTGCGGAGTACCAATGAATTTTCAAAAAATACATAAAACTTGAAAAATCACAGTATTCAAGAACCAGAATCCTCATCCCTTAGCATACCATGAAAGGAATGTTCTGTAGCCTTCTTGGTTTGACCTTATATGATTCCTCAATCAAGTGTGTCCTCTCTTGTCCTCATCCTCTCAAGACTAAGGCACGCTCACTCCCCGGCCTCACTTGCCCTCTCCGTAACATTTGCTCAGGTCCCACCTTGGTTGGTCAACTAGCTTCTAGTGATCTTCATCAAGCATCTTATTTTGTGCAATCTCGTCCATGTACTTTAGCCTGCAAAAGGCACACAATGTTACCAATGCCTACCTAGGTCAGAAGTAGGGCCATGGTCATATGGGGCACTCAAGCAACCCCATTACCCCCCTCAGGATCACTATAGGATTTGCGGCTTGGAGGCCAGTACCCTTCGAATTTTCTTTATTTTTTTCATGTCTAGCAAGAAATTGTTATATTTGGCTATTTCCTAAGGGTATTGGGTTTGTCAATTGCACGCCTTGGGGCTCTTCAGTTGATGAATAACACAGAATTTCTTTAAGGTTATTCTCAACTCATATTCCTTTTTTCTTGGCACTCTTAGGAATCAACAGAATTATAGAAGAGTCATAGTGATCTTGTTGCTATAGATTCTGATCCTACACACTTCTGCTACATCAAACTCCTTGCAAATGAAATTTATCTAAGAATCACAAACAGCTTGCCAAGTAGTTGGGGCAAGTTAAATGCTAATGAAAAAAAGAAAAAAAACAGAGCTTCCAAACAATAAATAAGTAAAACTCAATCATCCACCATGAAGTCACTCCTAAGCAGGAACCATAACCCTAAATGACTCTGCAAGATCACTTTAAAATCGCAGCAAACGAAGCTTACTCGATTCTAGGAACGCATTCGATAAATGATCCATTCCTTCAGAACAGCCCATTATAGTAGATAGACAGATACATGCATATTCATATGTAGTTATTTAGGTATGCAAGTGAAACAAGCAAAAGCAACTACAATGGTGGCATAGGTAGAGGATCACATACGTATGTATATAGGGATATGTGCAAGATGAAGCATGATACCTGTTATGACATGCAATGATGTTGGTCTCTGCTGAGATGATGCTCGTTGTTCATCCAACTTCTCCATCTCCATACAACCTAATGATTCGAGAGATGCACAACGCACAATGCCTGATCCTTTTCTGTTTCTATCTGGAGATACTGATTGCTCCAATAGAACCAGGGATTCAAGACTGTGCAAGCGCTCCTGCAAGGCTTGAACTGCTTCCACTGCATGAAGACCATGTAAATCCAATTCCCATAGACTGTTTTTTCTATTCCTGATACTTAAAATTTCCTTTGCTGCCTTAGCATTAAGACCTTCAGCAGCCATCCATTCCTCCCTAGCTTTCACTGAGAGCTGTTGGGCAGATAAGTGATCGCCCCTTGAATAGGCATCAGTGGCTGCCCGTGAATGCTGAGACGCTAACCTGTTCAATGTATGGAATCAGATATTCACATACCAATTATAAGGTGAACTTCAGTTCAAAGCAATTGAAACCATACATTGCACATATGTCATTTTGAGGGCATATATACAAGTAAAAGTTAAAAGTTTATACACATAATTTCCGGCAACAACAGACATAAGGTTGTCAAATGCTATCTATCTTGAGTGAGCAAAGAAATCCATACCAAATCCATGCCTTTATCCACTCCATATAGGTTAGAGCTGGCTCATTGATTATAATATATATGTGTGTGTATATGTACCTTTCTAATTAATAGGTCTAAAGATAGGGTACTCTTTGTCAGCTTTAATGCCTAGCCCCATCCAACGTTAACCATTTTCTAGCAGCCTAGCACTAATATCTGGTTACCATGATTCTAATTTTCCTCATCAAGCCAATTACTTCGCTCAACAAATGTTTTAATACCCAGTCCTATCCAAATGCAGCCAATTTGTAGCAGCCTAGCACTAACATGTCGTACCATCCATGATTATAGTCTTCCACCATCTAGCCAGTTGCTTTGTTCAATAATATAAACCAAACCAAGCCTTAAGTCCCATTAAATGGGGTCGACTACATGAATCCTTCTTCTCCACACGGCCCTATCAAAGGCCATTTCGTTAGTCAAATTAAGTAGATCCATATCTCTATTTACAACGTTAGCCAATGTTAATCTAGCCCTACCCCGTCTCCTAACACTCCCCTCTACCATTACAGCATCGCATCTCTTCACTACTGCCTCTATTGGTCTCCGTAGAATGTGACCAAACCATCTCAATCGATTCTCTCACAACTTATCTTTTATCGGTGCTACTCCTACTCATTCCCGAATACACTCATTCCTAATTCTGTCTTATCTAGTCTTGCCACACATCCACCTTAGCATCCTCATCTCAGCCACACTCATCTTATCTACATGTTGTTTCTTTGTTGCCCAACACTCCGTCCCATACAACATCGCTGATCTAATAGTTATTCTATAAAACTTACTTTTTAGTCTAGTGGGTATTCGTTTATCGCACAGCACCCTAAACGCACTTCTCAACTTACACTATCCCGCCTTAATCCTATGGGCCACATCCGTATCAATCTCCCCCGCTGTTGTGATAATCGACTCTAAATAACGAAAATGTTCACTCTTAGAAAATTCTTGATTCTCAATCTTCACTTCTCCTCTGCTTTCATTGTTACTGTTACTAAATTTACACTCCATGTACTATGTCTTATTTCTACTTATCCGAAAATCTTTAGATTCAAGAACTTTTCTCCAAATCTCCAACTTTGTATTAACTCCTTCTCTAGTCCCATCTACTAGCACGATATCGTCTGCAAAAAACATACACCATGGCACGCCATCCTGAATATTTCTCATCAACTCATCCATAACTAAAGCAAAAAGATAAGGGTTTAAGGTAAATCCGTGGTGTAACCCAACAGTGATAGGAAATTCATTTGTCTCTCCAACAGGCGATCTAATAGTGGTCACCACCGCTTCATACATGTCCCTAATCACATCAATGTAACCTTTTGTCACCCCTTTCTTCTCTTATTCCTACCATATTGTATCTCAGGACATTCTAGCATATGCTTTCTCAAGATCGATAAACACCATATGAATGTCTCTTCTATGTTCTCTATACTTTTCTATTACTCTATTCAAAAGATAAATCGCTTCCATTGTTGACCTGCCGGGCATAAACCCAAATTGATTCTCTGACACCTCTATTATATCTCGCAATCGGCGTTCCATCACCCTCTCCCACACCTTCATTATATGGCACATTAGCTTGATTCCTCTATAGTAGTTGCAATTCTGGACATCTCCTTTATTCTTATATATTGACACTAAAATACTCTTCCTCCACTCATCTGGCATGTTCCTAGTCAACAAAATTTTGCTAAACAACCTAGTCAACTAAGCAACTCCATTTTTACCCAAGCACTTCCAAGCTTCAATAGGGATATCATCAGGTTCTAAAACCTTATTTGATTTCATCTTCTTAAGTGCAATCTCCACTTCAAAGTTCCTAATCCTGCGATAAAACCTATAGTCTTGGTTTATCGTATTACTAGCCATTTCTTCCCCTATTGCCGTACCTCCATGTTCTTCATTTAATAGTTCCTCAAAATAGTTCTTCCATCTTTTCTTAATCTCTTCATCCTTCACCAACACCTTAGAATTCTCACTTTTGATGTACTTAATTTGATTAAAATCTCTTATTTTCCTCTCTCGTATCTTAGCAAGTTTGTAAACCCTCTTCTCTCCTTCTTTACTATCTAGTCTAGTTTATAGGCCATCATAAGCTTTCAACTTAGCCTCTCTCACTACTTTTTTGACCTCCTTATTAGTCAATCTATAACTCTTAAGGTTTTCCTCAGTTCTATCATTCTGCCACTTTTTAAAGCACTCTTTCTTTGCCTTAACTACCACTTGAACCTCTTCCCTCCACCACCAAGTTTCCCTAGCGCAGGGTCTCATCCCTTTCGACTCTCCAAGCACTTCCCTTGAGATTCTCCTCATACAATTGGCCATCGAGTTCCACATAATGTTAGCATCATCTTCCAAATCCCAAGTACCTTCCTTATCCATTTTATTCTTAAATATTTCTAGTTTATCCCCTTTTAGGTCCCACCATCTCATCCTACGATGCCCACCATCCTTCCTACCTTGGTATTGCCCTCTAAAACATAAATTTAGTACCAAAATCCTATGTTGAGAGGTCAAGCTCTCTCCACGAATCACCTTACAATCATTGCATTTTAGGCGGTCCACTTTTCTCACTAAAATGTAATCTATTTGGCTCTTAACTGACTCACTCTTAAAACTTATCAAATGTTCCTCCCTCTTCTTATACATAGTATTAGCCACCACCAGGTCAGAAGCTAATGCAAAATCTAAGATACTCTCTCCAGCCTCATTTCTGTCACCAAAACCGTATCCACCATGCACCCTATCATAGCCTAGTTTATCTATGCCTACATGGCCATTAAAATCTCCACCTATAACCAGGTTCTCTCCTACAAGCATCTCCTATAAGATCTCATCCATTTGCTCTCAAAAATCCCTGTTAGTCTGATCATCTAATCCTACTTGAAGGACATATGCACTAATAACGTTCACTATATTCCCTCCAATAACTACTTTAACTAACATAATCCTATCCCCTTTCCTAATAACCGCCACTACATTCTCCACCAGACCCTTGGCAATTATGATTCCTACCACATTCCTGCATCTGTCCTTACCACTATAATACAGTTTAAAACCGGTATCCTCAATTTCCCTAACTTTCTCACCCGTCCACTTAATTTCTTGTATGCAAGCTATACTAACTCTCCTCCTAATCATAACATCTACCAATTCCATCATCTTACCAATTAAGGTTCCTATATTCTAAGGATCAACATAAATTCTAAGGATCTTTACCTTATGAAATTAAGTCTATCAATAAGAAGAAAAAATCCCACTTGCGTACTAACACCATGGTTGAGACAGGATATTAAAATGAGTTCTATATAAAAGCATGAAAAGACAATGCTTAGCACAAACAAAGCAAGATGTAATGTCTGATGTTAGGAACCTCATGATTACAGATGAGATATGGAAGAAAACAGATAAATTTTCTATGATAAAAAGAATGATATAACTTATTATAGAAGAAAAAGGCAAGGCAAGTGCATAAATGCAATTGATGCTGCGAATGATCATCTCGGTATGCAAAGTAGGTGGATATAATTGTGGCATCTTAGGAACTTACATGGACTACATCTCACAACTTTGCTTTCTTCTTATGGGCTAGATAACTTGTTCACATAAGTTCTTTATTAATCAAGGCCCATCTAAAGCTAGAAGGGAATTATAACTGCCCAAACTTGATAAAATTCAATTACTTATCCATCCAGTACCACTCTTATTTGGGCAGACTATAAGAATCCCCATTTTTCTGGACAAATTAAATTACAACTGGTATAAAACCCAAGCGTGTCAAAGATACAACTCAAGACCCACCTCCATGACGAGTAAATGTTGTGTATAACAGTAATACAACATGCAGTATCACCAACGTGAAATCTCACATTGTTGTAGTAGGGACTACATGATTGGATTAGTGTGAAGATAAAGGGTATCTATCTAATCTCATTTGCAGTTTTCTATTTGTTGGTGACACTGTTGCACTTAATATTTGTTCCTCCATGACCACCATGACTTTAGTAGAGAGTAGAGACCCTTAAGAATGAAAGAAAAAACAAAACAAAAACAAGACAAAACAAAAATACGTTCACTCCAGAATTGTATTCAAAGAATCGATCAAACATCATAAATCAAAAATCACTTAAAAAGGCCGACATTGGTACGTCCAAATCCACATGTTACTCTAATTCCCTAGGGTGGTTCACACTCATCATCATGACATGACTACATAACAATGATAGTCATGTTGATAGGTCCATAGTTATTTGTATATTTTTATGGGGGCAAAGTTCTGCTGAAATTCACTTTTAGAATGTCCATGCTATACACGTTGTGAGGTCTATGGAGAATTAGTTTTTTAACCTAGGATTAACATAGCATAGAAATTTTAAATTCATTATATACACAAGCATTTCTTATGTTCTTCAAAAGGACAGCTTCATTTAACTAAAATTTATTTTGCTTGTATTAATCTTCAGTTCATTAGATGTTGCAATTCAGAATTAAATTGCATAATGCAGTATGATTGTAGTTTTCTATGCAAAATTGCGGTGTCAAATTTCTTAATAGATACATAGAGTAAACAACCTAACCATGGTGGTAAGATTGTTATAATAATTATTATTACTATTATTTTGCTCTTGTAGTATACGACCATTATCACTGCTGGTTTTTAGCACATAATAGGCAAACAATAGTGTATCAGTGTTGTCTATTTGAATACCCCTGCAAAATATCTGACCATAAATGTAGAAGAGCTATAAAGTGCAGTCTTAGAAAGCATTAGGAATAGTCAAATACATGCCTAATCATCCTTATTGCGTCCTTTCGATGGATTAAATAGATATCGTCCTCTTCCCACTCAGGCTCAATGGGTACAGGCCTCAAGTTCCCCAAAATCAGCTTCATATGTGCAGCAGCAGCATCAGACTTGTTATTTTCACCAGAAACATTGTCATTGGTCAGTTCTTCATTCTTGCAATTAAGACTATCCTCAAGAACATAGCTCAATTCTGAAAAGTCTATGGCCTCTCCAAAAAAATCACTTTTCCTTGCTAATGATTTTTTATGGTCCAAGCGAAAATGCTCAGAATTAGATTTTGATTGTCCGACGTTTTTATCCTTGTTCTGCTTGAAGCTGTCAGCGGAAACCATCGGTATCAATAAAGTTGAGGCCTTGTTAACATCATTATCTGCAGCTGTCATAATATCCTCAATCAAGCTTTCGTCAACCCAGGAATGAAGCTCTTTGAACTTTGCATAGGCTTCTACAATATCAGTTTCATCAGTGAACTTGTTGCTCTGGGTTGCAATAGATATGTGAAAATGCTCGGAATTAGACTTTGATTGTCCGATATTTTTATCCTTATTCTGCTTAAAGTTCTCAGGGGAAACCATTGATATCAATACAGCTGAGGCCTTGTTAACATCGTTATCAACGGCTGCCATAATATCCTCAATCAACCTTTCATCAGCCCAGGAGTGAAGCTCTTTAAGCTTCGCAAAGGCCTGTACAATATCAGTTTCATCAGTGAACTTGTTGCTCCAGATTGCACTAGAATTGCCGACTACTAGTGGTTTTTCATCATCTTCATCCTCTGTCAAAGTTGGAAATTTCACATCAGGTAAGAGCACTGATGAGATAGACCTCACTGGAAGATTATTCTTCTGCCGAGTGTTCTGGCAGGGAGGCAGAGAGGTGATGGCACTTGACATGGGTGGGTAAGGCTCATTGTCAACTTCAAGTTCAAAACATTCTTTCTGACCCTGCTTGAGGTCAAATGCAGCCCAACCAGGTGATTTAGCCCTCTTCAATGACATCTTCACATTTGAAGAACTAGCAGAAGTCATATTTTTAATGTCACGTGCAAGACTAGAACACAAGATTCACCAAGCTTCTGTCCCCCTGCTGTGTATTTACTTGATAAATATATAACTCCTTAACTTACCACAAATCAAGAAATTGACAGACCTGACAAATGATATTATCAAGACAAACTATATAAGTAAGACATCATACAAACTAATTTGTAAATGAAAAAAAATGATATTAAGAATACAAGGATAGAAAACTACTGCATTCCCAGTATAGAACACTAAGGTGTGTGCAACTCCACATATTTTTATTCATAAACTATGTTATATGGACTCTTCTAAATACATCAAAGACCTTGAACACTTCACTAGTTGGATAAGGGTTTGGGATGTGTGCGACATGTATAATAGCACATTCACCTAACAAACATATTTAGTAATTCAAGTTTACCATAAAAATATGCATAAAACTCTCATTATATTGACCTGCAATTGGTTTAGTTTTGAAATCAGTTTTGGAAAATAAGTTTTTTAAAAGAGTTTTGAAAATTGAAAACTTGTTTGGCTATGAGTTTTCAAACTAGTTTTTGCATTGTATATTTTGAAAATAGTTTTTAAAAATTTGAAAATTCAAAAATTGTTTGGTTATGAGTTTTCAAAACTAGTTTTCCCAAAGAGTTTTTTTAGGTCTTGTGTTTTTTTTGTCTTGTAGTTAAAACTTTTTTACAATATTATAATCAATGTTGTTTACTTCTTTTACATACCTAATCTAAATATACTTTCTAGATGCATCTAAGCTAATGTATAAGGCAGAGTTTCACTCCGTATATATTACTTATGAATGTTTTTAAAATTCTAACACTACTTTTTCTGATTTATATCCACTCAATCTACATACATTTAAAACATTTCACATTTATGAAAAAAATGTATAAAATTATTGAATAATGAGAAATAAGAAAAAAATTTAAAAAACAATGTTTGACCTGGTTTAAAAGACAATACATTGTTAATGTTGTATGTATTTATTAAATTTGTTTTTCATTTCTTCACCTTTTGTTTACTGTTTGAGTATATGTAGATCATATATATCTAAAACACAACAAGTTATTTGGCCAATACTTACAAAACCAAACTAAAATTCCACAATGGTCTATCGAATTCAAATGTAGCTGATTTAGCCCACTAATTTGAAAATTAATTTTCTATTAATTCAAAATAACAATTGATGTTGTTTCAATTTTTTATATGAATTGGCAAAAACATACATTACAAAGTTTCATCAAAAAAAAAACATCAGAAATAATTGTTAAATAAAATTTTATAACATCAAGTAGTACAAAATGGGTAGATTTCGTCAACATAAACATCGGCGACAGGTTTTGGGTTTTTGGCTTTGAAATCAAATGGATTTTGAAATGTATTTTTGAAAACCCAAAACCAAACTGGTTTTGGGTTTTGGGCTTTCAAATTTGAATTCAAAAAGTAAACCAAACGATACTATAATTTCCCATCTCCCGCATTCTTTTCCTCCTCGTTGGCAACCACTACCATCTACAGCGACCAAACCACCTCTTCCTTCTCTCTTACAATACAATTCGTCCATAAATTTTCCTTCTCCCACATTTTTTTACCTTGAAACTAGTAGTATGTGATAAACATAAACTCGAAAAATCTTCTCACCTCAAGGGTTTTACCATCTAGAGAAATATACCCATCATTGAGGCAACCAAAAAGTATACTCCAAGCTTGTCTATGAACTCAAAATTCGCACTCATTATATCATCAACAATAAGAAAGGACTTAGTTCCAGATAAATAACATTTGGTAATTAATTAATGAAGAATCTCCACCTAAGTATTATACTTAATGCAGGTGGATTCTCACACACTCCCACAACCTCCATCAACACCCATACCCATCATCTTCCACTGCTGGTGGTATCGACATGTAGTTATCACCTCGACCAGCAACAACCACATCATCCCCGTCATAGCCCATACCATTCTTCAAACCTTCACCCACATATATGTATATCTATACAACAAAGATAGAGAAGGAAACTTCTACACGCACACCACCAAAATTCTCATATCACACCATGTTACCTTTCAGATATCAACTTCCGAACAAAAATCAATTGTTTGGAATCAACTTCTGAACAAAACCTTGTTCGATAGTTGATATCCAAACAATTGATTTTGTTCAAAGGTTAATATCCTAAGTGTCGGGCGTAGCTAGAAGCGAGAGAGAGAGAGAGAGATTGTCTACAGAGAATGGATAGTTCCCATTGATATATGTTATATATTTATAGTTCTATACTAGTATACAAGGCAAACACCTCAGTTTGGTGTGAACAAAGATTTGAAACTCTTGTCACATCCATCCATCTAACTAATGAACCTCTAATGGTGGGGGTAAATTGTTATGTAGCTTTACAATTCATGGGAGCGTGATGTTATTTCATCAAACTAATGGTGTCGGTTGTAATAAACTTATTTGTCAAGGGAGTCTGTGTAATTTATCAAAAAATATATATTATGAAATATGAATATTTTGTCATCTCCTTGTGTCTTTGGATATGGAAATTAGATGAATCAAACACATAGACATATACTGGCACCCAAACACCCATACCTGAGTCCATGTAACATAGGTGTGGTTCACAAGAGATACAAAGCTACAACCTAGATATTCTACATTAAGCAAATTTGACTCATACAGCAACGGAGATTGCACATGGGTTTCTGAACTATTAGATAGTCATATTGAAATACAATTGCAAATAAGCAAGGCAGTATGGAAACTCTTTATTGTACTGGTGAATAATATAAGTCTACAAAATACAAATAATACAACCTAAGTTTGCCCCCACAAGTCCAAATAATATATATGTGCAATGTAGGAGATTAGGGATAGTCATTTTCTCCTACCTGCTCCAGCCACGCATCCCTTGCCCTATTGAGGAAGTGGGGCGGAGAAGGGTTTTGCTTCCCTAGCTCCGTTCTACCCGACCCCCACCCCGACTGTATTTACTAAATATATTTATATGTATATAATATATAATTAAATTTTTTTCACCATAATAAAATTAAAACACTAAAATATTATACTTAGGCCAAGTTTGGCAACTCTTAAAAAATTCAAAAAGTCAAAAAGCCACTATCCTATTTAAATCACATCATCTTATTTAAGTCACATCACCTTTCTAACACATTACTTCAAACCCAACCCAAACCCAACCCATATTTCATAAAAAGTCAAAAAGTGCACTTATTTAGTCTTCCCAAACTTGGCCTATATTAATTTTTACTCATTTATTTTTTATCTTATATCTTATAATTCTCATTAAGTATAAATCATTATCCATAACATAATATATTATCTATAATTTTTATTAATATTTTCATTATTCAACTTACAAAATTAACCTGTCTCCCACCTTGCCACTGCCACCCCTGATTTTCCCCACCTCTAATACAATACGGGGCGGGGGGGCGGATTACTACAAACCCGCCCCAAACCCGACCTGCGACCATCCCTATAGGAGATTGTTCAATAATATAAATCCATACAAATAGTGCAACCCGAATTACGCTCCCGATGGCCCTTTTAGGCTGCATCAATTGTACCCTCTTGCAACAAAAACACACACCCCTAAATGATGCGGATTTAGTAATCTCCTACGTGTGAATAAAACTGTGAGAGAGCCAGCATATCTTGTCATGTCAACAAATATTACGAGTCATATGCATTAGCTGGTCCAGCAGAAAATAGATAAATTTTGAAACCTTTCGAATTATCAATCAAAAACTCTAATGGAAATAAGGACAATAAGAAGTTTGGCACAACCCAAATCTCATAAAATTAAATTTTTTCACAAGTGAATACCCATTGGAGAGGATGTGTGCTTTAGTCCTACTCTCATATTGAAATTAAACAAAAGTAGCACTTAGGGATGGCTCTAGGTCGGGTTTGTAATCCCCTGCCTCCTGCCCCCCGCCCCATATCGTATTGGAAAGGGGTAAATCAAGTTGGTGGTGGGGACAGCACAGGATGGGGTGGGGCAGGGACAGGATAATTTTATAACTTAAAAAAGGCAAATACTAAAAAAAATATAGATAATTTAGAATATTGTGGACAGTGATTTATAATTAATAAAAGTTAAAAGTTGTAACATGAGAAATAAATGAGCAAAAATAAGTACTAAGAGTAATATATTGGGTTTTAATTTTACAATATTGAAAATATCAAATGATATATGTATTATATATATATATATATTTAGTAAATATAAAGGGGGATGGAAGAAGCAAAACTCATCCCCGCCCACTTCCTCATCGAGGGTGGGAAAATCCATGCAGAGCGGCTTCCCTACTAGCACTGCTTTAATGTACTTGTGTTTTTTTATTTATTTATTCCATTTCAGTAGTTAAGAGAGTAATTACACATACAAGAGTCTTACACAACAATTGAAGTCCAACAATAACTAGAAAGCCAAACCCAACAACCATACCCCCAACTTTGGGAAAAAATAAACAACTACATAAAACCATTATGTGGGAGGAAAATAATCCACAGGGAATATCAAACTACTCTCCATAGAAGTTGAACCCGCAAAGGCCTCGTGTTTACTAATAATCCAAATTACTTTACTTACAAGTTCAACAACATTTCATGTTTCATTCATATAAAGCATAATCAAACTGCAAAAATACATTAAAAAATAATAATAACTAATCTTGAATTCAACCAAAATGATTGTTTAGCAAATAATAAAGAAACAAATGGGTAAAGTTGAATACCTTTTTATTTTTGAAAATGATATATAAATATTATTTGGGAAAACTAAAGCGGAGGTCTGGAAACCATGGCGTGAATCGAATGGAGCGGTGGGGGGGCTGAGCAATAGAGAGAGTTGCAACAACAACGATGATGGAGAATTCGTAATTGTGAAGAGAATAATTCGAAGAAGAAGAAGAAGAAGAAGAATACGAAGAACAAGGTCTGCATCTGAAATCCATATACACGTCCTGTCTGTGTTAGATTGAGATTGAGACTGAGATACAGAAACAAAAGAAAAACGAGGGTTTCTCTAGATGAAGGAGAGGCTCTTTGACATGAGATAGCGAAACAAAACAAAAAGGGCAAATTACATATACACCCCTCGAAGTTTGGCTAAATTACAGATACTCTTGAAATTTTAGAAATTACATCCCGTCCCCTGAGGTTTGTATTTTCATAACAATTTACCCCCTGAGGTTTATATTTCATAACAAATTACCCCCTAATTTCTTATGCAAATATAGCATTCAGGGGGGGAATTCGTAATTTCTGAAACCTCAGGGATATCTGTAATTTAGCCAAACCTCAAGAGGTGTATATGTAATTTGCCCAAACAAAAATAAGGGTTTCCCTAAATGAAAGAGAGGCTCTTTGACTTGGGGCTCGTTTGGCAAATCCTCTTTTAATACTGCAAATTTAATAAATATATATATATATATATATAATAAAATAAAAAGATATGTTTAATAAATATTTTTAAAAGGTATTTGTATTTTCTGTTATTGGGAAAGTTGGAAGATGCCTTCTTTTTTTTTTTTTCTTTTTCTTTTTAAGTTTTTTGTTAACTTCTTATATTGAACTTTTAAAAATTCAAGAAACTTTTCAATTTTAGATCTTACTAAACTAGAAATTTTAAAAAAATTAAAAAAAAAATTAAAAATCAGAAAAAAGGCAGACTAAAGATTAAAAAAAAATATCCTTTTTTGTTTTTACTAAACTCTTTTATATATTTTTTTAAATATATTTTTAGATCCTTCTAAATTAAAAAGTTATGAAAATAAATATTAAAAAAAAAATTGATCTGAACTTCTTTTAAAAAAATTACTACGTAAAAAAAATTTAGCATTTGCCAAACATGATTGATCCTACTTTCTCTTTTGTAACCTAAATTAGTAACAGTCAAACAAACAACATTTTTTAACTTACATAGTTAAAAAGTAGTTATTTAAGCCATTTCCAAACAATCCTTTAAATTATTTTTTTTTAAAAATAGTACAATATAATTTTTAAAATCACATATTGAAAATTTGTTTTCACAGAAGATCACAACTCTAAGATGCAATTTCATGTTGAGGTGGCATGCTTCCATATTGACTTATATGCTAGCTCTATCACCCTACCTACTTGGACAACATAGTATTTTAATTTTTAAAGAAAATTCATAATATTGGTGATTTTTAGAATAAATTCATACATTTTCTATCAATTTCAAATTTGTGACGGTAGATTAATTTTTTTACTAATGTGTCTTAATGTGGTAAAACCACAACAAAATCATTGTAGTTCTAATTCAATGCGTTACAAAATGCCTTGTAGAAACACACTTGAACATGTACTCCTCTAAAGAACAAACTTTCAAAGGAGGAAATTGAACATGTGTGTCTCTAAAGCGGTCAGCTGCTTGCACATGTGTGAATGGTGCTCCATAGTTGGGGACATATAGATACACACTAGCATGGCCTTTAATTCTCTTTGAATTTAGAGAAATTTTTATGACTTCATTTATTAAGGCGTCATTTTTATTTTTTCTTTTCTACGTAGGATAAGATTTCATAAAGGCAAGTAAAGAAACAATAAAAAAATTTATAAAAAAACTCGAAACAACTTTTAAATATTTTGAAAATATTTTAGCACTTCTTTCCTTAGCATTATACTCTTTTTCACCACGCCTCGTTGCTTCGGCGATGAAACCAAGATTGCAACTTCACAAGGCCAAAAAATGATTAATGGTTTTTTTTTATCAATTGATATGAACTACCAAATTCCAATTCAAGAATAAAAATAATTAAGATTAAATACTAATTTATACATAAAAATAAAATGATTTATACATGAAAGTAAAGACAAATTAGTAAATTTACACAATCAAAAGCTACACCTGCATCCAACAAAGTACAATCAATCAATAATAACGTGAGTGGCGTGAGTGGTGGGCTAGCAGTGGCCCATATCCATTCAATTGGAAGGTTTATACTACTGTAGCATACACACACAAATATTGCACCATCTTTCACACGGATTAGGGGCCATGCCCCTAGATGGTCTGAACATGGTTCCATCTCTTGTTGCTCCTCTCTCCACCCAACAACCGCATCCCTCCAAACCCTAGCCGCCCTTGTTTGGTACAAGTGCACTTGTAATTGGTGAAAGTCCAATATTTGCACGATGCAAGTGCAATATGTTTACAATGCAAATTAAATCAGTGTAAGGTTACACTTGTCACTTGCATCGAATACAAATTAAACTCAAATCTAGAATAAGTAGAATTTACACTAAGAATGAGGTAGATTCCACCTCTTTTTAATTATTTTCTTTCTTTCCACTCTATTTTGATTAAAATCAATTTCCTACTTAAATGTAATTGTGCGGGGAGCAAATATTCAGGCAAGCCCGCACTCCTTTCTTCCAAACTCCGTTTCTATCCGATCACCTGCGTGCACAACAGCAGTGAGCTACCCGGCGGTGTGTGGCCGGAAAACCCCTCCGACGATCAAGTTAGTACACACCTAAGAATAGAGAGAGCAAGGAGAGAGTCGAGTGTAATTATTTCTCTTAGCAAATGTTCGTGTATCAAGCATGGGGGGCGCAGACTTGCTTATATACCTTCTGCGCTCCAAATCTACTCCCAGTGATCTCTCGACACGTGGTTTTGCTACCCCATCTGTCAGCACAAATCTTGCTGAACATCACCTAACCCGACTGCCAGCCCACTCTTCTGGGAGCTCGGCAGTCGGGCTACAGTATCTCGGTTGTCAACGGCCATGCTGCAATTCATGCCCAGGTGCCGCCCACAACCGAGCTCCTTTCCAGCCATGCTCTACTGCGTTCCGGCGAAGCCAAGCTTGAGATTAGTCATACCGGTCAACCAAAGTCCTTCCTGCCGAGCTTCAGGCATGAGCCTTCACGCCGAGCTATGGACACGTGCTCTCCAACCGCGCAACGAATAAACCGTGGAACCCTCACTTGACCGGCCTCCGCGTCGACAAGGTGAAGTAGCTCGGTTCCACATGCCCTTGCCATTGCCAAGCAAAAATCACTTCTGGGTGGACCTGGGATACCACGGCCCAAATGTGTTCAGCCCACAATTTGCCTGGTATTACCATGGCCTAATCCAGACCATATTTTTCCCTCTCAATTGTCCCTTAATTTCGTCCACGCCAGCGTGACCGGGATTACCTGTTCTGACCGGGATAAACTCTTCCTCGGTCGATAATTAGCAAGAGGCAAACCGGGCTAATTCCCGTACTCGGTTCCTTGTCTTGCTCAGTCGACGCTTCATCTGACCTTCCTGTCTCTTCAACTCTGACGCTACCATTAATGGGGTCACGTGTCAATCTCCTATTGGTCCTCGAGCAGCCAACCCAGCCGTCCCCTGAAATTCGAATTTGGGCGATTTTTCTTCCTCAATAAACATGCCCCCTCCCTCTTTGATTCATTCTCGCTGACATTCCTCTGTTTCAAGCGTCTCTGAGCTCTTGCCCTTTCTCTCCCGCCATCCCTGAACTCTGGTTCGAAGAAGGAGCCTCTGCCTTTCACTGGTAAGTTCCCCAGCCCTTGTTATTACTACTTTCATTTCATATTTTTCTTCTTTATAGCACCAAATCCGTAGGTGTTAGGGCCTCCCCCACCCAAAACCTTCAATGCCCCTTAGTTTCTTCACTGTTCTTCAATTTCCCTGATGAACAATGAAGATCTGGGGCGGACCGGGCTCCAGATCTTCATCCGATCCAAAAAATCACTCAGACCGAGCAAATCTTTAGTTTGTCTCAACCTTAGGAGAAACCGGGGTAGCAAAAAGGACTTGGCCACTCAACTGGGCTAATCTCTGGTTCTCTTGGGCGACCGAGCTCCTTGGCTAACCTTTACGACCGAGGTGGTTTGGCACAATCCACGACCGAGCTCAAGTCTAGCTCGTTTTGCGCGACCACACTCCCATTTATAATTACCCTCCATTTTCCTGCAGAGTCCAAGGGGACCAAAGACCAATTCTGAGGCTCTCAAGGACCGAGTAGCCATTAATTCCCAGCCTGTGCCAAACCACCTCAGCCGAGCTAAATTAGTCGGTCACACATGGGGAAATTCCGCTTCCTTGTGGACACACCTGCTGCCTTGGCCGCCTTCAGGGAAGAATACGGTATCCCGGTAGATGTCCATTTAGAGCTCGCTGAGATGGAAACAACCCCTTGGGGCAGGCTTAACCAATTCCCCTTCACCGTGCTGTCAGTAATTGAAGGAGGCCTCCACTTCCCGGTCAACCCTTTGATGACCGAATTCCTGCGCCACACCGGGCTAGCACCCACCCAAGTTTCGACCAACACTTATCGAATAATCAATGGCGTGCACGAGCTAAACAACCGGCTAGGAACAAACTTAGGTTTAGCCGAGATACTACGAAAATACACCCTTGGGCACACTAGCGACGGCCTGGCCTATTATTTAAAAATAAGACCGGGCAAAGAGAAAATAGTGACCGGCACCCCGGACAAGGACTTACATGATGACGACTTCTTCTGGGTGTCTGGCAATTATGAAACAGCCAATATACCGAGCTGGTTCATCAGTGTACGGGGAGCAAATATTTCAGCAAGCCCGTACTCCTTTCTTCCAAGCTCTGTTTCTGTCCGATCACCTGAAAGCACAATGAGGGTGAGCTACCCGGCGGTGTGTGGCCAGAAAATCCCTCCGACGATCTAATTAGCACACATCTTAGGGAGAGGAGAGAGAGAGTTTGGGTGTAGGAGTTCCTTACAAAGTGTTCGTCCCCTCTCGTATGGGGGGCGCAGACATGCTTATATACCCTTCTGCGTCCCAAACCTGCTCCCAATGGTCCCTCGACACGTGGTTCTGCTATCCCATCTGTCAGCATAAATCCTGCTGAGCGTCACCTAATCTCAACTGCTCGCTCACTCTATTGGGAGCTCGGCAGCCGAGCTGCACCATCTTGTCCGCCAACAGTCGTGCTGTGCTTCATATCCAAGCACTCCATTAGCTAAGCTTAATAAGGACCGGGCTAGGCAACATCTCGACAAAGCCGAGCAAAC